CGTGTGTGTATTTCTGAGACTGTCCTGGCAGAAGCAGGCAACTCGTACCTTTCAGCCAATCAGAAGAGAGCTGTATTTAATGAAACCCACTCTGCGCTCCTTTTGCACAGTCTGTTCCTCTCCAGCATGGCGAATTGAGAGATGCGCAGGCTTTAAAAGAAAACTATTAAATTCCCTGACTTTCACTGATTAAACCTAATTTACATTATATCTAATTAATGTAAACAGGCTGTTGTTGTGCTTTAGTTGCCTAATATGTAAAATGTACCCTATCGTTTAGTGATACATATATGAATATAAGCATTTTAAATGATTCTCATGAGTTTATTTTTTCTTTAATAAGCTAGAAACAATAAAAACTGACAATGAAAATATGACAGGGCGAGACAATGGCGCAGTAGGTAGTGCTGACGCCTCACAGCAAGAAGGTCGCTGGTTCGAACCTCAGCTCAGTTGGCGTTTCTGTGTGGAGTTTGCATGTTCTCCCTGCCTTCGCGTGGGTTTCCTCTGGGTGCTCCGGTTTTCCCCACAGTCCAAAGACATGCGGTACAGGTGAATTGGGTAGGCTAAATTGTCTGTAGTGTGTGAGTGTGTGTGTGGATGTTTCCCAGAGATGGGTTGCGGCTGGAAGGGCATCCGCTGCGTAAAAACTTGCTGGATAAGTTGGCGGTTCAATCCGCAAGGGCGACCCCGGATTAATAAAGGTACTAAGCCGACTAGAAAATGAATGAATGAAAATATGACAACATAATCTAAGAGTTTATTTGCTTACCACAGGCTGTAGTGAACTCATCTCCTTTTTCAGAAGGTGAAAATCGAGCAGAAATTGTGCTGAAACCCCTGTAGTCTGAGCTGTAGGCTGTATTTGACTGGATTTGATTGACTGAGGCAACAGCTCTGAACACAAAACTAAAGTGCTGTCTAATTGAACATTCTGATTTGCTGGTGGTCGAGAACATTATAGCCTAAGTAATTAAATAAATGAGTTGGCTTTTGTCAAAGCGGTATGATATATTCAATTGGTTGACCTTTTTTTCAGCATTTGATTTTGGTAGTGTCGTGTGTTCTGTAATGCCTAGTTCAGACTGTGTGATTTTAGTCCTGATTTTCGCTCGCGGACAGGTTTTGAGAAATCGCCGACAAATGCCTGAAATCACAGGCGTGAGTGACAGTCACACAGTATGAACTATCAAAGACGCGATCTGAGAGAATCACCAATGAGTCGCCGATGCCTGTGAGATATTTGGCGTGCTGAATATCTGGAGCTGTCGGCGATTCAAATCATGCCGTGTGAATTGAGTTTTGACTGAAAATAACATCAGCGATCGCCTACAGCCAATGAGAGAGCAGCATTCACTTGTGTGTGTGTGTGTGTGTGTGTGTGTGTGTGTGTGTGTGTGTGTGTGTGTGTGTGTGTCTATACCTGCTGCAGGCCAGCGGGAGGCTGGGGGTGTCACGTTTAGCGTGATCAAAACAATAACAAAAACGGAAACAAAAGGTTGCGGATCCAAGTGCAGATTTTAATGATAAAATAGTGCAGAAACAGTGACAAATCCAAAAATCCGAAAGAGCAAAGTAACAAATAAACAACAAAACAAGAAACTAAGGCAAATAAACACGAACTAGACATTAGCAGGACACAAGAACAAGATCAAGAACAATAACTCGATATACAAGACTTACTGGGCAACTTGACAAGGAAGACAAACGACGCCATGACAAACACCGGTGGAATGATGGAATATATAGTCCGGATAATCAACAGAAATGGAGACAGCTGTGAGTGGCAGATCAGTGTAAGTGTTCTGGTGTATGCGCGTGGTAAGTATGGAGTTGTAGTGTTTTGTGACGCTGTAGTTCCTTCTGAGTCCTGTTGAACTACAGCGCCCTCAGGTGGTCACGGACAGTTGTGAAAGGGGGAGAAGTTAAATCGCTCTTTTTCGGTTTATTTGGACGCACAAAATGGAGGTAAAACTAGTGGAGGTTTGACAGGACTCAAAAGCAACCGTGTCTGTTTGACGTTTCATACATAAAGAAATTAGTTTATTATCAACGTTGAGGAGAAATGGCTAATTCCCTTTAAACCCAGATGAGCGAACATGCACATTTTCTACCCCATTAAAGGCTCCTTTTCATTATGTAGTAATAACAAAAGATATACTTCGTGTTTTTGGCTGTGAGACGTAGTTTGTTCGAAGTTGTCGGCGATTCTTCCTATAGTAAAGTCATGCAATGTGAAAGTCCCTGTCGCCGATCCATCTTGCAGTGTAAACAAATCAGCGACGAAACGCTAGCACAGATAATCGTGCAGTGTGAAAACATCTGTGACACGACGACTTTAAAAATCATGCAGTCTGAACTCGGCATTAGTTTCAGTTTTGCTTTGGCCTACGTGGATGCATGGGAGGAATGAGCCACTCTTTACCTTATAACTTTTACTTAACGTCTTGAACAACGCAGATAGACAGTTCACTCACACAGTACAAGTGGCATAAACACACAGCCTACACGCTGTTCCTGTTTGGTGCTGTTGCTCTGGCACAGAACGGCAGCTTTTCCTACCGTGCGATGAGCATGTGCGCAACCAATATAGCCTGTTTACATTCATTAGATATAATGTAAATTAGGTTTTTAGTCAGTGAAAGTCAGGGAATTTAATAGTTCTCGCTTGAAGCCTGCGCATCTCTCCATTCGCCATGCTGGAGAGAAACAGACTGTGCAAAAGGAGCGCAGAGTGGGTTTCATTGAATACAGCTCTCTTCTGATTGGCTGAAAGGTACGAGTTGCCTGCTTCTGCCAGGACAGTCTCAGAAATACACACACACATATCCAGGGGGAGTCGAACGTCAAAGAGGATTTGCACTTTCTCCTTCAGGATGAACTTGGAAGTTTTAAACATTCAAAACTTTCTGTACATTTGCAAATGGTGTTTTGCATTAGTGAAACGTTTTTATGAAAATGTATTTTTATTTTGTGCACGTGAATTGTTTTTGTGAATATAAACAAATATTTTACGCACGTGAATTTGGTTTTATGCACGGGAATTTGGCTACGCACGTTTACTTTTGCGTGAATTTCTTTTGAGACTTATCTGACTCCATAGTTATCTGTTGTTTGGAAGAGTGTACTTCCATTATGATGCTATCGTGTTCATACTTGCATTATATAATGAGTGGCATAACTAGATTTTTAAAGCACAATAATATTGTATTGTTCATATTAGTAAATACTCTACATGAACTTCTGAAATCTAATAAAGTGTGACCCAAAAATTTGATGCAAGAGCTGGTGAAAATGAGCTTATTAGATCAAAATGTATCCACAATAATGTTTCCCTTCAATGAGCCTCTCTTATTTTCTCTCTCTCTCTCCTCCAGAAAGCAAAGTTGGGAATGAAGATATGAGCCAGAGGATGCAGGACTCTCTCAGCTCTCGTTTTCCATCTGTCAACCTTTCGCACACAAGCGCCGCTTCAGTGTTACTGCTGCCGAACGAACACACAGGAGGTGAATGTGATGCACATATCAAGACGTTTGCTCCTGTTCACTGTACATACTGGAGGACTTGAACAAGCAATATCATCCTAAAACAAATCTGATGTATTTTTAATAGGCGAGAAAAGGAGAGCAATCTGAAAACGTGCAGCCGACGTGTCTTGATCTGAACTGATATCAGCACCGATCGCCGAAAGCTTTTAAATCTTACACACTAGTTAGTGCAGTCCTCTAGTCTTGACCCTGGTTAGCATATTCAAAGCACACACACACACACATAGTCGTCCTACAGGACCTAAAAGAGACATCTCAGAATGTACAGTGTGAAGCAGGCCGTATGGATGTGTCTCAAATGGTGAACGTTCAGGAAAACAGACTCAGTGTTTTTGTGAAATTATGCAAGATTGTGTCCTTGTTTTGCTGCATCTACACACACACACACACACACACAGATTCACGTAATGTATTTAAACATGTTTGTTTTTTTAATTAATGTAAATGATATTAACATCTTTCTGTAGCATTCTGGTTTGTTTTTAGCATGTCCGTGTCGGAGGTGTGGATGGACGTCTGCGCTCCATGTGCAATAACTGTTTGTATATGAACGTTTTGAGCAGAGTGTAATTTATGTAAAATAAAGGGATTAATAAATTCAGACATTTTAATTTATTTGATTTGAGCTTTACTTGAGCGTGTGACGCACTTCACTGATCTCCCTTAATTGATCTCATTTCAAGAGTTCACACTTAGCTGATGAGTGATTATAAAGCTTGTTTGGCGTGCTGTCCGTGCAGAGAGCCCTGAGCTTATAAGATCCTCGAGCCCGGGACTCCAGTTTGAAGGGCGAGAAGAGAGTTTGAGCTCAGGTAGATCTGGAGAACTCCTCTGCTGTAGTAGCTAATGAACAGAAAGTGATCGCTCTTAAGAGATAACTACTTACTAGGAGCATGTCTATGGTGCCAATTTGGATTAGTCAATTAACTTAAGTTGCATGTTTTTGGATCGCGGGAGGAAACCGGGGAACCCGGGGGAAACCCACATGAGCATGGGGAGAACGTGAAACCTCCGCACAGAAATGTTGGCTTGCTTGGTAAGGACTAAAAACCAGTGATGTTCTTACCTGTGAGGCAACAGTGCTAACCACTGGGCCACCGTGCCACCCATCTAGCAAAGCAGGAGGAGTAGGGGTGGATGGGGGGATTCTTCAAAATGAAGATCGCTGTGATATGGAACTTTGGGTATTTATAGTGGCTTATGAACCGTTTGATGAATCAAATAAAATAATGCGGGACCAGCCGCATCATGGAATTCTGACTTTTTTTTGGAATTCTGTGTTTACGTCATGGAATTCTGACTTTTGTGGAATTCTGGGTTTATATCATGGAATTCAGATTTTTTTTTTTTTTTTTTTTTTTTTTTTTTTTTTTTTTTTTGGAACTCTCAATATTTTTTTGGTATTCTGAGTTGAAATCATGGAATTCTGATTTTTTCTTTTTGGAATTCTGATTTTTTCTTTTTGGAATTCTGACTTTAAATCAAGGAATTCTAACTTTGGAATTCTGACCCTTTTTGCATTTCTGTGTTTACATGATGGAATTTTGACTTAGAATTCCAAAAAGGTTTCAGAATTCCTAAGTTAGAATTCCTTGATTTAAAGTCAGAATTCCAAAAAAAAAAAAAAAAAAGTCAGAATTCCATGATTTCAACTCAGAATACCAAAAAAGTATTCAGAGTTCCAAAAAACTCTGGGGGGGGGGGGTATTCTGACCCCTTTTTTGTAATTCTGTGTTTACATCATGGAATTCTGATTTATTTATTTATTTATTTTTTGGAATTCTGATTTTAAATCATGGAATTCTGACTTCTTTTTTGGAATTCTGTGTTTACGTCATGGAATTCTGACTTTTGTGGAATTCTGGGTTTATATCATGGAATTCAGATTTTTTTTTTTTTTTTTTTTTTTTTTTTTTTTTTTTTTTTGGAACTCCGAATACTTTTTTGGTATTCTGAGTTGAAATCATGGAATACTAACTTTGGAATTCTGACCCTTTTTGGATTTCTGTGTTTACATTATGGAGGTCTGACTTCTGTTTTGGAATTCTGTGTTTACATCATGGAATTTTGACTTTTTTTAGAATTCTGACTTTAAATCATGGAATTCTAACTTAGAATTAGGGAGAGATTTCCGAGTTGAAATTATGGAATTTTACCTTTGAAATTCTGACCCCTTTTTTGGAATTCTGTTTACATCGTGGAATTCAGATTTTTTTATTTATTTATTTATTTTTAAATTCTGATTTTAAATCATGGAATTCTGACTTTTTTGGAAGTCTGACTTTTTTGGAACTCTGATTTTAAACAATGGAATTCTGACTTTTTTGGAAGTCTAACTTTTTTGGAACTCTGATTTTAAACAATGGAATTCTGACTTTTTTGGAATTCTGACTTCTTTTTTGGAATTCTGACTTTAAATCATGGAATTCTAACTTAGAATTAGGGAGAGATTTCCGAGTTGAAATTATGGAATTTTACCTTTGAAATTCTGACCCCTTTTTTGGAATTCTGTTTACATTGTGGAATTCGGATTTTTTATTTATTTTTTTATTTTTTTTTAATTCTGATTTGAAATCATGGAATTCTGACTTTTTTGGAACTCTGATTTTAAATAATGGAATTCTGACTTTTTTGGAATTCTGACTTTTTTTTGGAACTCTGACTTTAAATCAGGGAATTCTAACTTTGGAATTTTGACCCTTTTTTGAATTCTGAGTTGAAATCGTGGAATTCTGACTTTTTTGGGGAATTCTAAGTTATAATTATGCAATTTTAACTTTGAAATTATGACCCTTTTTTGGAATTTTGTGTTTATGTCATGGAATTCTGACTTCTTTTTTAGAATTCTGTGTTTACGTCATGGAATTTAGTTTTTTTTTTTGGAAACTCTGAATACTGTTTTGGAATTCTGAGTTGAAATTATGGAACTGACATTTTTCGAATTCTGATTTAAATCATGGAAAATCAAATCATTCTGACTGCTTTTTTGAAATTCTGTTTACATCATAGAATACTGACTTTGTTATTTTTTGTTATTTTATTATGTTTTTATTTTTTGTATTTACTCGATTCTAACTTTTGTTTTTCTTGGAATCCCCAGAGCCTGTAGTCTGTGTTTGGACTCACAGTAAGATGACAGTAAAAGACAACAGTAAAACTCAATAGTTTAATATAGATATCAGGTATCTCTCTACATATATAATATCTTCCTGTACCATATTTGTATAGAATCTCTAGGATCAGTCTAGTTATGCATGTGTTGTGGTAATCAGTCTTTGTGGTCCAGCATTTGTAACTCCTCTGGAATGAGTTGTGTGTTTACAGGAGCCGAGCGTTCACAGTCCTTCAGCTCTGGTTAGCAGCAGCAGCATCTACAGAAAGACCTCGGTGTGTGTTTGTCACTGTTTCCCCGACTCGGACACGCTCACAGACATGCAGCGGCACTGCTTGATGCGCTGGATCTTGCGGTATCGGACCGGCGGCTGCAGGTCTGGACAGTCCAGCTCTACAGTGAGGCTGGTGAAGCGCTGCGGCCTGCAGAATGCACAGGACTGGAAGGACTCCTGCTCCTTCTTGACGTGCCGTGGGATGTAGAAGGAGTTGCATTGGCCGTAGCAGAAGCGGTTGATGACGGTGCGGCTCCTGCAGCCCTCCTGGCTGACCGTCTGCCGCAACGGCTGCGTCTTACACCAGTCGCTCTTCAGGTACTTCTTTTCGGTCACCACCAGCGCTTCCTGGCTGGAGGCGAGCACTTCTTGTTTGCGCGTGCGGCGGTCAGAGGTGTTGGAGCTGGTTTTGTAGGGTGATGGGACGGAGCTTTGTGGGCGGTTCTTGCGGGCGGCGGAGACCACACACAGAGCGCCAGCCAACAGCAGACACAGCGCCACCTTACTGCTCATCCTGGAACACAGAGAGCAGACATCACACAGCTGACTGAACCTTGATCACACCTGTGAGTACAAGTTTTGATGTAGTAGAATGTGTGTATGGGTATTTTCCAGTACTGGGTTGCAGCTGCAAGGGCATCCGCTGTGTAAAACATATTCTAGAATAGTTGGCGGTTCATTCCGCTGTGGGGACCCCTGATAAATAAGCGACTAAGCCAAAGGAAAATGAATGACTGTACATCTGAATCTGAATGTGTTGAGTTTTGTTGTGCTCCAGGACGATATGACTTGAGTACAGATCTGAGGATTGTGGAGCTCAGAGTAACAGCAGCTCATGACCTTCACACACACACACACACACACACACACACCTGATCAATCCACTTAACCAGCTAATGCTCTGAGCTGAGACAGGCAGTGTGTGTGTGTGTAAACCAGCTTTACTTCAACGCCAGGATTACACACACACACACTTTACCGAGATTCACTTCACTGATTCAACATGATTCAGTGTTCACTTGTGTTTGATTCATTCATTCTGTATGAGAGTTCTGGGGACTGATTCACAGTTGCAGGTGTTCTGAAACACACACACACACACACACACACAGATGTTCTCAGACTCATTCATGCGCATACATACACACCTATTCACTCTCTCTCGCACACACACTCACAGTAACAGGCATACAGGTGACGCAGTGGGGCAGTGCTGTTGCCTCACAGCAAAAAAAGGTCGCTGGTTCGAGCATCGGCTGGCTCAGTTGGCATTTCTGTGTGGAGTTTGCATGTTCTCCCTGCGTTCACGTGGGTTTCCTCCAAGTGCTCTGGTTTCCCCCACAGTCAAAACACATTAGGTACAGGTGAATTGAGACACATGCAAACACTCACACAACACACACTTCTTCACATGCGTTTACACACATACGCACTCTCACTATAGACTTAAACCACAAGAGTCTGATTCCTCGTCTGTGGATGAATTGGAGTTAATTAATCTTTAATGCAACATTCCTGACCACTAAATCAGCTCATTCATTCATTCACTGAGGAAGTGACTTTCACTCAATCTCACAATCAAAACATCATGAAACTGAATACTGAAGCGGATCAATGCATTACAAATATATCCATCCATACAGTTGTAAGTACAATTACTGTCACTTATGAACAAATACATGTGTCACTAAATAAAAGTGTAAACCTCTTTAAAAATAAACAGTACAATGATGAAATTTTCTAAATGCTAAAAAATGATTTTAGTTCATGTTTCTTGATCATATCATGACTGCAGTAATGATGCTGAAAATACACTACCTGACTAAAGTCTTATCTGAGTTTTAGGAAGAATAACTTCCTAAAGTGTCTTATATGAAAGGTAAAGGCCTCTAGATGACGCTTATTTGAGCACAATAAAATCTGATCATGCCTTTAATGATTTGATTAGGACAGTAAGGTCTGACTCTGCTTAGACTAAAGTCTCATCACTGAACAGAAATAATGTCCAGTATAGAATATAAAGTCCTGCTGCAGTGGAGACAGAATGAATATTGTGTCTGACTCCATGATGAGCTTGGAGGACTGCATCCATACATCTCTGACATGACTCACATCACTGATTAATAAAGTCATCTGGAATGAAGAAGAAAGCCTTCCTGCAGGACTCCCAGAGTTCATCAAGACTCTTTGTGTTCATCTTCAACGCCTCCTCCTTCATCTTACCCCAGACATGCTCAATAATGTTCATGTCTGGTGACTGGGCTGCCCAATCCTTGAGCACTTTGACCTTCTTTGCTTTCAGCAGCTTTGAAGTATGAGCAGGAGCGCTATCCTGCTGGAGAATTGTCCCTCTCCTGTGGTTTGTAATGTAATGGGCAGCACAAATGTCTTGATCTCTCAGGCTGTTGATGTTGATCATCCACTCTGCAGATCTCTCACACACCCACATACTGAATGAACCCCAAACCATGATTTCTCCTTCACCAAGCTTGACTGATATCTGTGAGAATCTTGGCTCCATACTGGTTCCAGTAGGTCTTCTGCAGTATTGGTGATGATTGGGATGCAGATTAACAGATGATCAGAGAAATCCACCTTCTGACACTTTTCCAAATGATCAAGTAGAAGTCAAGTTATTATGTGTTGCTCTTACAAATGAGATCAAGACAAGACTTTTGTCAGGCAGTGTACAGCTTTACATTACAGATATAAATTACACTATACTATATTATAATATAAACATTCTGTATATTTTATATACTATATAAAGCATCTGTAACACTTCGCAATTCACACTATTTCAAATACAATAACTAACATTACTAGCTTAATAAACTGCTAATTATCTGTTTATTAATAGTTAATAAGCTAGAAGTTATTGGGTTTAGGTTTTCGGTATGATTGTAGATGCAGAATAAGAGCATGCTTTATATTTATATCTTAATATTAGGCGGGTAATAAGCATAGTTTAGTCACCTAAACTAAAGCATCATCTATTTAAATTGTACAAGTCTTTCATTAATTGCATTAGTGAATTAACCTCAGACTAATATATATTGAGTGATTTAAACTCACGCTGCTGTATTATTATATTCCCCCTGCATCTGTCAATAGTTGTCTGTTCTGTGCTGAAGTAATGTCTCGGGGCGATTGTTCACCGTTTCCTGTGAAGACAGGAAGTGGCGGATTATGTTTAATTTGTCAGGCGAGAGCGAGCGAATGATCCGTCAATCACTGCGGACATCTTTAGCACAGATGTGGCGTCGCCGGAAGGAAAAACAAATGAGACTGATTCATTCCCATAAAGGAAATATTTAGAGAGCGGCTGGTTCCCCCACGATCTGCAGTTCAGCAAACCACGGAGAAACCATAAATCTGAAGAGCCTGAACTCAAACTCTGATCTGTGTGTTGCTCAAGACGCTCGCGCTGAAGATTCATGAGCCTCTCAGACAGGATTCTCGTCTCTGAGGAGCCAAAAGATCCTCTGTGTTTGGAGGAGGTTTCAGTTCTGTGCAGAAGGACACTAGTGTTGTCACTGAATGTGTTTGATCTGTTATTATTCCCTCTCTTGAGCATCTGTCTGCGCTCCCAAAGAGTGTCTCACACCTCCAAAAGCCACCGTGTTCATTGTGTTTGGTCTTCGTCTTCTAAGGTGCAAGAGAATAAAAAACACCAAAGTGTCTTCTCTCAACGCATGAAAGTACACTTCTCTGTCTGATATTTGGTGCAAGTTTATCAGGAAGTGCTGATTCTGTTCTCTTCTGTTTCTCATTGGATGGAAACGCTGCTTTATTCACTAATGTTTGATGCCATATAGAGGTGTCACGATTTAGATTTTTAATCAAAATCGATCAAAATTTATGCTCAATTTCGATTATCGAATCAAAAAATAGAATCGTCGATGCTGCCACGCCCCCATGTCACGTCAGCTTAGCTTGCCAAGCGGGAAAAAAACAGGCTTGTTGAAGTGCTTGCAGAAGCAGGAGACCCGTCGACAGAGCTTAAACCCTCTCCTCTTTCAATGAAGTCGCCGGTGTGGAAGCATTTTGGATTTCCAGTGAGTTATGTTGACAACGTTCGTGTTGTCGACAAAAAAAACCACAGTTTTGCAAGCTCTGCTATGTACGTATTAGGGTACGTCCGTTAGACAACACCGGCATCGCGATCCTCCGCCCGCCCCCGTTGCAAATCCGCTCGCGAAAAGTACACACTCAGGCCCTGTTTACACTGTCTTTGTTTTTAAATGGCATTTTAGAACGACAACGATTTGACATCCACAGTGGCGTGTAGCATTTCTGAGCAGCCCTCCTTCCTCTCTACCTCTGAAAATGCACATCACATGACCACACAGACACAGACGCACACACAGCCATGCGCTCGAGACAGCAGGTCCAGGCAGTCAGAGGACTGCTTCAATCTTTCACTCACTTGTACTTAGTCATTTTAGCGAACACCTCAGATACTGTTGGCTGGTTCCTGTTGGTTGTGCGTCTTTTTTACCGACGCCATTATAACGACACAGATCACTGCCTATTCACGAGTCCCGCAGAAAAAGTGATTGACAGGTGGTAATTATGCGTGTATCTTGCCTTTCTTCATTTACTGTATGATTTGTTTTTGGGTATAACAAAGACCATGCAGGTCAGGTGGTTTAAACGGTAGGCTACAAATAATTAATTGGTCATTAATTAATTATTCATAATCGAATCGTGCCTTTAGAATCGAAAATGTAAGCGAATCGAGGATTTGGAGGATCGTGACACCCTTAATGCCATAAAGAGCCAAAAGATCCTCTGTGTTTGGAAGAGGTCTCAGTACTGTGCAGAAGGCCACTAGTGTTTTCATCAAATGTGTTCATTCTATTATTCTTAGTCTCGAGCGTCTGTCTGCACTCCCATCTCACGCCTCCAAAAGCCCCCGCACTCTGCGCTTCAACTCTGTCGTCTGAGGTGCAACTAATTTATTAGAGGAGAACAAACACCAGTGGAGAATCCCAACAGTGCAGCACACGACACTCCTCTGGCTGATGTTTGGTGCAAGTTTATCAGGAAGTGCTGATTCTATTTTATTAAGTTTCTCTTTGGATAAAAATGCTGCTCTGCGTTTATTTTGAACAACTAAGCAGGAAGAACTTTTTATCCGATGAGATAAAATGTTCATAAACTACAATGTAAACACATTTACTGAATACACTCCAGCATAGGCATCATTACAGTAATGTGATTTAGTTTTATCAGATGATTTGACGGATATAAATGTGTGTGTGAGGGTCTTTGTGTCAGTAATGGTCTGCAGCTATTATTATTCCCTTCAGAACTGTCTTTAGCATCTGTCTGCGCTCCTGTCTTACGCCTCCAAAAGCCACCGCATTCACCACGTTCATTGCGTTTAGTCTTCGTCTTCTGAGGCGCAACTTATTTATTAGAGAGGAACAAACACCACAGTGAAGAATCCCAACCGTGCAGCAAACTCCACTCCTCTGACTATTTGGTGCTTCTCAGGAGGTTTCTCAG